TCCTTCTCCTTCTCCTTCTCCTTCTCCTTCTCCTTCTCCTTCTCCTTCTCCTCCTCCTCCTCCTCCTCCTTCTGCTTCTTCTTCTTCTTCTTCTTCCTCTCCTTCTCCTCATCCTCCTCCTTATTCTTCTCCTTATTATTATCCTTCTTCTTCTTCATCATCTTATTCTCCTTCTTCTTCATCATCCTCTTCTCCTTCTTCCTTTTCTTCTTCTCCTTCTTCCGCTGCTACCTCTATGTCTGTTTCTTCTGCTTGTGCTTCTTTGCTTCTTATTTTTGGTCTTAGTCGGCTTCTAAGTCAGAAGAGCGTGTGGTTACAGTAACACCTCGCCAGCATCCAGGAAGCTCTGCAGCGCTAGGTGCCAATGGCCAACACGTCCTGCCATATGTCAACCATGTCGCGTAAAGTGTCACTCTGCAGATCTACCCTATGAGGACTGAATCCTTAGAACGATGTTTCAAGAGAGCTTGGGAAGCCTGCCGTCAGCATTGGAAGAAACAAACACTGGAAAGTGGCAAGTCTATGCTGCGCAAAACAAACCCTCGGCACCTGCGGCTTGTATAACTTCAGCATCACAGCCACTGTGATCTCCGGGAAACTTTCGAAGCTTTTTGTGTATTCTGCCCAGGATCATCAACGGCACCTGCGAACGTCCATTGCAAACAGCAACCGTTTCGCTGCAGATTGGAGGAAGTTGCCCATCTGCTTTGCAATGACTCCAGCTTGAGCAACACTCTGAATCTGTTTCTAACAAAACGAACATGCCCCTCTCGAAGAGACGAAAGGGAAAAAGGAGTTGGTGAAAGCTTTTCATTGCCAGAAAGGGGTGCACCACGACTGTCGGGATCTTTTCTTGGCTCAGGCGACAAAAACTAGTGGCGAGGAGTGGAAGTTTCTATATAGCCAGGTGCCACCGAATGCAAAGAACCGTTTTTTTCACGAAGTGGTGCAAAACATTGCCCAAAAACATGTGTATAGATGTTTCAAAAACAATGAAATAAGCTGCTTTTGCCTGGAAATTTTAACCATCTTGCATGTGTGCCGTGTGCCAGTTTCCGGTGGCTGGGTTGTTGATTGCAGTCTACCGTCTACCTCATTGTGCAGCACCATGAGGCCTCGGAAGACACCGGAGACTTCACACCTGGCATGTGGCACAGCTTGAAAGGATCGACAAATCTAGGAAAAATCACCATAGGTGTCACCATGAGTCAAAAACTTTCATCACAAAGGTTTATTGGCCAATTGTTGACGGAACACAATCTCGAAACTCTTCTAAGTACTTGGAATGTTCAATCAATGCCCACCAGAACATTGCACCATGTTCAATGACTAGTTGTGGGACCTCCTGCCAAAGCCGTGATAGCGCTGGCCAGGCTCAAGGCATCCGGAGCAGGCAGCTGTCCTGACACTTTGAGAGTCTATTCAGACTTGAAACTCTGCACATTCCAAAGAATGAAGGTTCCCTACAGTTCCTCAGGCATCTGGGTAGCTCAATACTTCTTGACCCTTCTGCCCAAAAAAGTTAGCATCCCAACTAATGAGACCAACAGCTCCCAATCTATTCCTCAATGTTGGGGGACAGCCGGGACAGCTGTGAATTTGCTCAACCAATCACTGGTTTGTCCCACAGTATCGATTGCTACTCTTGTTCTGAGGATGCTTTCCAAGAAGGCTCCAGCTGGGTACAATTATATAGATGGTTCGGACATGAGGTTGGAGGCCATCGGTAGCAGGTTGGAGGCCATCGCTACTAGCGTGGAGGCCATTGCTACTAGGATGGACGCCATCAGAAGCTGAGCAGGACACCTAAAAGTTCAGAGGCGCATTGCCACTTGGCCGCGGAGGACGCCAGCGCAGAGTTCCTGCCAAGCTCCAAATCCCAGGCGGCCCAAGCACCCAAAGTTAGAACGAGTCAAGGTCACTGCTTCAAGCATCTTCTGACATGTTTTGTTGAACCTTGGATAACTTCCTCAACAACTTCCATTTTGGCTGCTCTCTTGGAAGTTGGGTGGCCCATGTCACAAAGCTGGAAACTTGCACATCATGGGAAGGCAAACATGGTGCAGTGTCAAGCGCCGTACCAGGTCGACACCAGGGGCTGCAGAGTCTGCTGCGCCATTTGGGTCAAGAGCTGAATGCTCCAGAACCAGAAGCCTCGAACTTAAGGCTCAAGGCACATGAATTACATGAATACTCACGCATCCAAAGTTTGGAATACATCCCAATACGATGTCCTTGCTCAAAGAGTGCTTTATAGTTCCACAAAACTATTTGGTGGACCACCCAAAGCGCGGAAAACAATGCAACCACAAGCGTGTCAATGCGGATTGCTAGGACATCACGCGTCGAATCAAGGCCTGCTTCAAAAGAGCCCACGGTTGCACCAAAGGACACGGCGCTGGAGTCTGGACCAAGAAGTTCCAAAGCCACCTGGGGCGGACTACAAAAGACTCACTGAAGATTTCGGTGCAGGTGCCTGCAGAGTCTCAAGCAATATCTCCAGCACAACTATGCCGAAGTGCGAGGATAAATAGAGATCTAGCAAAGGCAAATTATGATCGGAATCCTGCTAAGTACAATGGATACATGATGTGATAGCTTTTGCCTCGAGTCTCAAGGGTTTTAAGCGGTATCATATATAATATATGGAAACTTGGTAGTGAAAGATTTCATGCGCTTTTTCTGCATCCTTTTTCGCACGTGTTCCGCCTCCCAGGTCTGGAACTTCTCACAGACCGAGCTGGCAGCATTGACGACTATCTGAGACAAGCATTGCTCAAACAGAAAAGTATCATCTGACTATCTGACTATCTGAGTTTCATTTGAGCTGAAAGGCGACACTGTTTTGTGCTGTCCTTGATTGCCCTTGTGTGCATTGATTTCATTCTTTGGAGTTCGGACTTGAAGTATGGATTCTGTGGATTCCTATGAGTTCAGTTCCGTTTGCACAGCCATCAAGTAAGCATGTTGCAATGGGATGCCATGGGCTTTGTTAGGCCACCGGGCTGTATTTGGCTGCAGACCCCGCTGTTTTGCAGAACCAAGTAGCTCCTTTAGAAGGGAAAGGTGAACAAACGAATGAGACATTGACAATCATTGACACGTCCCCCCACATCCCTAAAGGGGAAGACTTAATGGTTGAGTATCTGGCGAAGTCCAAAACTCCTCCAGGTCAAATATCTAATGTTAGAGGGACTTGGTTTTGAATGTCAAAGTGGAATCAAACCGGACAAGCAAGAAGACCACACTGGGACTCCGGACAAATGCAGGGCCCCAACTAAGGCCCTTCTCACAGCTGCTGACGGCAGCTCCTGCAATCGTGCCCTAAACTCAAAAGAAATCGTATCCAGCTCCTTGCAAAAAAAACGAATCGCATGTCTTGTCAACCTTGTAGTTATCATCGGCACTATGTCGGCTTGAGCTTGGTTGCAAACCCTGATCATTTTTGTGGTGGATAGAATCTGTCTTTGCTGTTGTAGCAAAAGCTGCGACGACCAAAGATGCAAACACCACTTCCAAATCATCTCAACATGACTATAATGACTTCCAAATCATTATTCTCCAGACTTCTTGTGAAGATCGCATGTATCAAACTCTTCAGTTGAAATCGAACAGAGTGCGATCATCACCAGGCAAACATGCTTTAGGAAGTCTGTCCCCTTCTAGGTGGTCAAAATGAGGGCAAAGGATGGTGTTTCTTTATCCTTCGACCTAGTGGAAGTCCAGGAACCCACCGCCCGTGGCACAGCCTGCCCTCCTGATTCCAATATGCATTCGGATGCAAACAGAGGCTATTCTGCCTGTCCCCAAGATCCCCCTTCAGCTCAGTCACCAAGGCTGACGACGTTGGCTTCTACAAAGCTATTGGGCCTTAAGCTTCTTCGGCCCGACAGCAAAGGCTGGTTGGACTGTACATGATTTCTGCACCCGGTTAACGAGTCTTTTCTTTTTTGCTCTTCCTTTACAATTGTTTTGTCCTGCCCAATGGCCATATCCTGAGATTCTCGCATATCTTGGAAAAGGTCAAGAGCTCTGCACCATTGTCCTCTTGCTTTTTCGCAACATGCCATCGCCTCAACGGTCGACGAAACCAAATGCATCCGCAAACTCGAGTCTTGAGGCTTCGGCTGCACTCAAGGCCACCTGATCCAGGCCACAGCCCTCAAGCTCCGCCCGAAGAAGAAACTCCAAACCCACTGGCCACGCAGCCCATTCACCTTAGTTGTCAAATCAAATATCTCAGCTAACGAAAGTGCTTCAGAGAAGTTCTTGTCAAATCCTGTGCTGCTTCTCACATGAATCCCTGCTTCATCCTGCAACAAACCCTCCTTGCGTTGAAGACCTCATGCCACCACTTCCGATAAAATTGGTTGGCCTTTCCAATGCTTCGATCATCTGTATTATAAACACCAGTGACTCGTCTGGGCCATCGCGCGAAGCTGTGCCTTCTCACAGGCTGACACACAGGCGCTCCTTGAAATGAAATGACTCTTGCTTTTGTTGCTCCCGACGCCGTAGGTCACGTGTTTGTCGTGGTGTGGTCAATCGAGCACACATTCTACATGGAACAGGAGTGCACCGTCTTTGCTATACCCTGGCACAAAAGCAGCCCTAAAGTTGTTGGAGTCTCGTACCGACACCCGGAGTAAAGTTTCTTTCAGACTGTTCGAGACTTGAAAGAACAAAGGACAAATTATGCCATACGCAACTTCAATCAGGTGCCCAGACCAAGCAAAGAGGTTTGCCTCAAGGCAAGCTTGATGCATGGAACGAAGGATGTTCACCTCAAGCTTGCACGCGGCTGACGGTTGACAGCAAACACGTCCTGCCGGTGCAGGAATGCCACTCAGTTGCGCTGGTTCGAAGCAAGTCAATACTTCCTTTCCTCTGAAAAACAAAAATTGTCATTCCAAACATGGATGAATTCAGGCTCGAAGCAGCGTGTCCAGTGAAATGACCGACTGAGAAGACTCTTCTTCTCACTTCACCTTTTCGCTCACCAAAGCTCCTTCAGGTAGGCCGTGGTAAGCTTATACTGGCTAGTGCGTGAAAGAGGTGAGCGAAAAAGCTATGTTCTTCCACTCGGCTCCGAACTGACCACCTCCAATGACCGCCCTTACTTTGACCACGAATTCGTGGCAATGGTGTGCCGATGGGTCCTGGAAGCGCCCACATTTGGCAAGCCAAAGAAAATATAGGTTAAGGAAGGCAAAAGCTGGAGGCACCTGTCAAAGCCATTACTACGAAGGCTAAAGGCCAGTCTGAAAGGGAGCTGAGAAAGGCACATTCTAGCACAAAAATGTTCCTGACTCCACAACAGAATGAGCAATTCTCACTGCACACAAAGAAAGGAAAAAATATACAAAAGGGAAGCAAAGATACCTTTCAAAGCCCCTCTACAATTTTTGAATGATTCGACATAAGTCCCCTTCAATCACCCAAACACCTTCATGCGTCCTCTCTTTGTTTTCTTATAGAATTTGTTTTAATTACCTTTGAAGCGAATGCATTTCACGATGTTCAAGTCCTGAACCGCCAACCTTACTGGAGGCGCAAGAGGCCAGCGCAAGGCATGAGGGCAACGGCACTTCAAACTGCAAACCTCGGTACAATGCAAATTCATTGCATCATATTGCATCCAATTTCTGTACGATGGGCATTACGTACTGAACATCACTGAACTACTTGGTTCTAGAGATACTATTAGGTACAAAGCAGCTCTCCAAACGATCGCACTACTCTCCTTTTCACTAACAAAACAGCGAAGACCCGGGGGAAACCTTCAGCAGGTCTCTTTTTCTAGAATTCTTGCCTCGGACGCGAGCTTCTTGAAGGAGATCAAGTGCTTTAAACCTGGCGCTTTTCGGATGGATTGATGCGAATAAATTTAGATAGATGAATCAAGATGATCTGACCACTCAGGGACAGGCCAAGCGCCCTCGCGTTTGCACTTGTATAAGGCGGCAAAGAATGGCCGGATTCTCGATGTCGGCGGAGCCTTATACACGTATATATCAATCACAGAATCCCATTAGTAAGTTTGTTTTTGCATAAACATATTCAGTTGCCAAGGTCCAAGCAGCTGTTGTTTCCGTGATAATTGTTTTTGGCACCGGGTGCAACTCCACGATCGCCATGCGCGAGGCATTGCAAGAAACAAGGTGTCCGCAAATGTTTGTTGGCGCTTTTCACTTATCGTTCTTGCATACTTAAACTAAAGCACTGCCTCACGTGAAAAGAATCTACTGAAGTTCTTTCGATCAAGCACCTGCAAAATGTGTCCATAAAGTTGCCCCCCCACGCAAAACCAAGGCCTTCAAAAAAATCAACCATAGTTTGGCGTGTTCCTTCCAAGTCTGACTAAAGTCACAAAAATGGAAGGTTTACAAAACGCTTCCCCAAGCAGTGTGTCCACAGTAGGGACTTTTACGGCTCCAGGTGCTCGCATCCGCTGGCGGCCAATGCGCTGCTATTTACATTCATATCACTCACTCACTTTGAAATGTGCATTTCGACTGGGCAGGCTGGCCGAATCTGGTGCACGCGAGCGGGTGCTCTTCGAGACTGTGCTCTCGTTGGGGTGCCGTGCACATTTTCGGGGTTGGTGATCCTTTTCTGTCACAAGCGCCGAAGAAAGCTTGTGCTTTGGTGGTCCAAAGTCGTAGAACATTGGAGTGGTCTTATGTCGATGCACAACTTTCGTGGCACGCGCATTACTTTGGACATGGTGGTGGTCTTTGGCGTGCTCTTGTTTTCGCGGCAGGTGCGGTGAGTCGTGACTTTTGGACATGTGGTTCATTTTCAAAAATCGGAAGTTTGAGGTCTCAAGCGAAAGCTGCGTTTTGGCATCTTGATGTTTTCTTTGGAAGTGTTCTGGCTGCGAATCTCCTTGGCAGGGCTACGCGATGTGAATTTTGATGCGCAGAATCTGTGGCAAGCGTAATATTTTGTGGAGCTTGACGTGCATGTTGCGTAGCAAGAGCAGCACTTTGTTCTTTGGCCCTTTGTGGTGCACAAGTACTTCTGAGTGGCGGCTCAATTCAGTTTCACCTTGCGTGCTTGATTTCACCCTGCTTTGCCTCCTTCACTTCCGGTAGTATTTGCGACGCTTGGTTTCGACCACAATACGCGCAGTGAGGGGAAAAAAACGTGTGGTTCCGACCACTGACCCCGCTACGAAGCAAAAAAGAAGCGAGCTGCAGCAGGGTCAATGGCCTTGGCCGCTTTCCTTCCCTCTGATTTGGAAATTGGTGTTCCCACAAAAACAACGAAAGCCTGTGGGGACTGTGCGGTCGGTCCTTTTCACACCTGTGTTAATTTGCCATTGTCTTTCCGGTACGGTAGAGGTTTGCATAGCATGGGGCAGTTGGGTCCAACAACAAGTTCGTAGACCTGTCATGGGACTCGGGAGCTCGTCGGATGCATGGCGTATTGTCTTGGATCAAAGCAGAAAAGTTTTTGCGCAAGAGACAGAATGACATTTGAGGAATATATCTCCAAAGCGCATAAGGTAGTCCATCTGGTCCCAGTGCAGAATCTTTAGTATTGAGGATTTGGTGTAGGTACGCTCGATCCGTGGGCATTGGCATCGCTGGCAATTAGTTTCTAAGTTCTTTGTATTTTCGCAGGCTTTGCTTCCAACTTGAACCTCACTTAATAAGCTTTTGAAACCAGAATTCTCTGGTAGCGAGCATAACCTCATCATATTGAGCAGCAGTCCTGACTGTTTACTGTGAAGAGTTTTCAGTACAGACCAGACCTTACATGCACAGCATGT